ATCAAGTCAGATAATTTCTCCTCATTGATCACCACTTAGTTATGCTTCATTCTTCCACAACTGAACAGGAAAAAACAATGGCTGGACTAGTATTTTATTATTATTATAGATTAGTATTTTATGGTGCATATCCAAAAAGCATTAATTACATAGAATTATATAGGGACTGCAGCATGGAAATAAGCCATTTCGTCCAACTGGTCCATGTCCCTTTTTTGTACATGCGCCTCCAACCCTCTATTCCCTTCTCCTTCATGTATGCAGCTTATAGAATTCTGTACATTTACTGTACATATCAATAGTGTACTTACAAAAGCAGAGTGCTCAGGCCAGAATTTAAATGTTCGTCTGTAAAAGCATTAATTATTCTCTATGCAGAATTACTGTTTTGCTGCAGCCTCTTAATCTATGCAGTTGCAACAAAGACACCGTGTTCTGTCATACGCTGCTTACTAAAAAAGATACGACTATTTTTAGCGATCAGCATATGATGAGCCCAGTTTTCTGCCACCATTCCAGGAGCAGCATCTGTAACAGTGAGCAATGGCAAAGTAGTATCTTTATTCATGAGTCATATCAAGTGCTTGAACATACAATAGTCTTATTAGTCGAGCGCTGTAGATTTCAGACTTGACTGAAGTCAGGCAGGCCCGACTCAGGATGGTCAAACATGTGTCAGAATGTCAAACAATCAGCCTGTCAGCGAATTTTTTTCATTTGTGGCTGCTCATTGCTTTTTGCAAGCTGCGAGGGAACAGAAATATGAGGCACAGGTAGTAGAGACTTAGCAATAAAACCAGAGGAATGGAAGTCAGTTAAATAACCCAATTTCTGCCTTTTTCAATCACAAATTCCATCTGCATCACCGTGAATTAGACTGAGTCACTCATTATAAACAACTCTGGCGATCTGAAAAGTGCATCTTAGTACTGTATGTGGATGAAACAAAACAGTAATTTCAGGGGGAGGTGTAGTGCCTCATTAATGCTAATCTCTCTGGTTATTCTAAGGTAATCTCATAGCATTTTTTTTCACAAGATGTGCTTTCACGCTGTGCCACAAAGGAAAAAAGCACGAGTGGTCGTTCTGCTTCTAGTCTGTCCTTGGGGTTAACGTCAGCCTCAGAACTTCATTCCACCTTTAGTTTGTGTTTTAATTATCACTGGCTTGGTTGAGATATTGAGTGCCACAGCATGAGGAAAGTAAATTAACATCAGTAAAATCGTCATGAATAGCCCCAGGTGTTTCAGTGATTGTGTCGATTTCAAATGTCTACACTCATTCATCTCCCTCACACGGCTGGGACAAGGTAATTTACACTGATGATTTCATCAGCCCTCAATGTTCGGCAGAAAAGAAAAACGGAACAAAGACTGTTCTTTAAAGAATTCTTTCATGTTCTACAGCTGACATTGTTTCTAAGATAAAATAAAACACACAAAAAGTGCATTAATTATGTTTAGATGAAGGTTATATTACCCCTAAGAATGCATCATTGTGTCTCAGTGTATTAATTAATAATAATAATCCTTGCATTTGATATAGCGCTTTATTACGTCTTCAACACAACTCAAAAGTGCTTCACAGAATATACTGCAAAGTGAATTGACTGTATATTTTATGGGCAAAATGCGGCAGACAATTGCGCACAGCAGTGTCCCACAAATAGCCGTTGATTGAGGTGACCAATTTATTATTATTTTCTTTAAAGGAATTATTACCCCCAGAAAAGCGATTCGCCAATCAACTAACTGCATTGCTACACTTAAACTACAGGGATGTAAACCAAAAACAAAACACCTAATAATGATAATACCTTAAGATAATACCTTAATACTGTTTTTTTCCATAAAGTGAGAGAACCACAACTCCCAAGTACCAAACTGCCTCCTTTGCCATAAACTTCCTATTGTTTCTGATTCTGTCAAGTACAAGCCAAGTTATGATGATTTTTGATCAAGTTAAGGAGTACTATGAATCCTTTGTCACAAATAAATGAGTAATAATCCTTGTATTTGGTATAACACCTTTCACATTGGGAGGACATCTCAACTTGCAACTTTATAGCACCTTAATATTGGGTATAGTCTCAGAATGCTTTACAAAGGGTGGATGTCAAGCAAGAGAGAGAGGAGAGTTGACCAGAGATGTGGTTAAAGAGGTAGATTTCAAGACAAGACTTAAATACAAATATAGAATGGACTTAAATACAGATATAGAGGGGTAGAGGAGTAGGGTAAGGAATCAGAGAAATAAAGAGTTGCTGGTTGTGATGGTACTTATAGGTTCGGAAGGTGAGGATCTTGAAATTGATCTGCTAGGAGCCAGGGAGTCAGGAGAACCTGGCAAGGACTTGGGTGATGGGCATATAGAATCTGCTGCAGGTGAGGATGAGAGCAGCTGAGTTTTGAGTGAGTTGAGGTTTATGATTGGTGGAGTCAGTTGGGTTTGGATACTCTTAAATATGGTGATGGCTTTCCTAATGTGTCAGATAACCAGCTGACCAAAAAAAGGGAGCTAGGGAGACGAGTGAGGAGTGCATTTGAAAAGTCTAGGCAGGACGTATGCTTATGTTTATAAGGTTTATGCTGATCGGTGTGAAGTTAAGAGTTATGCAATCTCAGATATGGATTTTTGACAGCCAGTAAATGAGTGCTGTTCAATAGTGTCCTGTGTGAACACTGTACTTGGCAGGACTGGGGTCAGGTATCAAGCTCCCCAATGCTTGTCCAGCCCATGACAAATGGCCATTTGGACGAGGGCTGTCTTGAGATAGCGCCTTCAGCAGAGGAGGGGAGAAAATGGAAAAATATTCTGTTTGGCTAGATTTACTTTTATTGCTGGTTATCTGTCAACATTTGGAAGAAATAAAATTGATACATTTTTAGGCACTTGAAATAAAGAGATCAGCTGTCACTCTTAAAATATGTACATCTGCATCTGCCTTTCACTTTAGTGATGTCTTGGTTCAATCCCATATCGGCAACAAGGCCATTTCTAGATAAGTGTCATGGGATCTTTAACACCCATCTGACCAGAAAGGACATTGGTTTAAAATCTCAGCCAAAGGACAAAATGTAATCATATTGTATTGTAATAGATAAGTTTGAAGGTTTGAGGTTTCCTATGAGGACCTGGCAAGTACTCAAACAAGGTTTCACAATTATAATGGTTGAGAACTTTTGCTGCAGTATTCCTTTGGTGTATAAAATATCAAAAGCATTAAAAAATATCAAAGCCATTTCGTGCGCCATCTCCTCGTGGGATCCAAACCCTGGAGATCGAAAGGACAACCATCCAGAGAAAAGAGCATCATTACTGAAATACAAACAACAAATAGCATCTCAGGAATGTACTAACAGCAGGTCAGTGGACACATGTGGGTGTCAGAATCAATTCAATTGCTAGTGAAGTTCTTTGCAAATGACAATTGCCAGCATCCCTGAAACACCAGAGACTCTGGGATAAGATCTTGACAGGCGATTTGCGAGAATATCAAAACTCTTTGACGAGATGAAGTGAAACATTTTTAGATAGTCTTCAAACTCAAAGTTTCATTTTGCGTGGCATCTGAGTAATCATTTTGTTTATTTGGTGTCGTCCTGTTTTAAAAGAAAAGCTCTGCTCACCAGCTTTGTCACGTTGAAGAACCTCAATCTATGCACTCAAGGGTACTGACGTTAGGCTGAAAGAGCATTTTTACAAGTGAGTTTGAAACATCTAGAGGTGCGATGAACACAACATTAGGTTCAAAATCAATAATGATTTATAATTTTTTCTTTCAGACTAAGTTATACAGAATAGTTTGATATTGCTTCACCCTCCCCACAGACAAGCACACATATGCATTACAACGTTGAGAAAAATAGCAACTGAAAACATTTCAATTAATTTGGGCAAAATGAATGAGAAAAATATCATCTTTAACAGAACTTAATTTTCTCTCACGCTAATAACTTGCACAATGTCGATTTGATACTGCTCAAAGTGACAGCAAAAGAAACCTGGATTGAAGGAAGAAAATAAAATACATTGGCAACATGAAGGTGATTGAAAAATTACTGCCTTGGGAAAGTGATAGCATTAAAGGTAATTCGCTGACAAAAACAGCTCCTCCAACATAAACTGTGTCTCATTCCTTACATTTGATATAGAGTCTTTCACGTTGGGAGTAGGTCTCAAAGCGCTTCACAGGATTAACTGTAAAATGCAATGACTATATATTTTGTAGCAAACACAGTAATAATTATAATAATCCTTGCATTTGGTATAGTCCCTTTCACGTACGGAGAACATACAAAAGTGCTTCATAGGTTTGTGAAGTGACTGTGTATCTGTGGATGAACAGCTATTTTGCAATGTTCTACAAACTTCCATGAAATTAATTTCCAATTTTATTTGGGGGATTGTTGGCTAGGATGTCAGGAGAAACTATCTTCTTTTTTCAAATGGTGCCATGGGATCTTACCTGCACAGGCAGGCGAGACTTTGGTTTAATGTCTCTTCCGAAGGTAAATCTATGTACGTCACGCTGATGATCAAGACTTTGGCTCAGATCAGAGATCACCTCAGACCAAATGTCTCACGAGTCAAGAGTAACATACGGAGATTTCCATACAAAAAATGTAGTTTCCCAAAGGAGGACCTTTCCTGGCAATTAGTGACAATTAACACTACAATTTCCTGAGGAAGTTCATTTCCATTTTGGAAACGCACAAACAGAAATATAACTTTGAGCAGCAAAACTGTGTTTTTTGAGAACTGTAACCAATTTAAATGATTTGGGCAAGCAGTTTCTACTGATTTCATCATAAGTAATCGTGTTAAGGTTGAACTACCAATGTGCTAAATAACAAAATCATTCTGAAATAAATACTAGTTATTAGAACACTTGCATTTGTTGATGTAATCTTAAGTTTTTAAAAAAATGCAGGAAACGCAAGCACTAAAAATAGCCGACTCACAAAATCTAAATGTAAACATATAATATTTTACTTTACCTCACCAGCCAGCGGTGCAGACCGACATCAAATTCCCTACAGAGAGAAACCCAAAGAAGAATTTTTAGTTTAAGTGATCTAGATTAGGATTCAATTTACATGTATACATTATTAATAATAATAATCTTTACATTTGATAAAAGTGCCTTTCGCACCAGGAGGATATGTCAAAGCGCTTCACAGGATAAGCTGTAAAGTGCTGTGACTGTGTAGTTTGTGGGTGAATGCGGTAGACAATTTGACATTGCAATGTCGCACATATGAAAATGAAGTAATAACCAATTTTATTTGGGGAATTGTGGGCCAACACATTTTGCCAACCTTTTAAGCATTCTCATCATAAATTCCTTCCCCAACAATAGTTGCATTATTTAAAACTTTTTTTTATTTTTCGATCTGATTGATTTACAAAAAGTGTTCAAATGTATCCTGAAATACTAGGGTTAACGTAGTGTTTTATACTTTATATCAGTCATTTACTGAAGCAACACAATTTGTCTGATGGGAGTCAACTTAATTCACCCAGTCTGAAACTTCTGAATCTTTTCCTAGAAATCATCCTTCTCAAACAGTGTTTTTTTTAAACCACCCAGAATGAATAATATCAGTAGGATTCCCCATAGAATTGTGCTTTAATGATACACTTACTGCTGGTTGTGTCCAATAAAAAAAAATCTGGGTGGTATCGCAAGCAATAAATATTTCCTGATCTAGTTTTCTACCAAATCGCTCAGTCTGTCCTGTAATTTATCCTTTTATTTCCACCTTTAATGCAAAGGTTCCCTAGGCCTCTCTTCTCTCTTCCATTTGGTTCCTCTTCTCGCCACTGAAACCTATCCAGTCTTCCTCTGATGTTTCTGCTCTGCATTCATCAATTGCATGACAGCAGTCGATCATTCCCCTCACAGTGCAAGAGCTGAATCACTCGGCCTTGATCTCTTCCATGCCCTTCAATGGGCCAGTGATAGTTTTAGCCATTTCAGTTCTTCAAAGACACAGGTTGTTCACGTACTGTAGCTTGCAAGTCTAACAATCAGCGACCACATCTAAGCTTTGATGGATTCTCTTTGTCAGCTACCAATATTGTGGTCTCCTTCTTGCCTATGATGTCAAATAGAATTTCTAACGCTGTCTCCAAGAACCCAAACCCTGCATCTCTGAACAATTCTTAACTTTCTATGAATCCAAATTTGTGAAACACTTGAATACTCCCATATTGCTTTCCTGGATAGAATACATGGAAAGCTCTGTTCTCTAATAGGTAATCTTTTCTCACCATTACAACCTTCTTTGTTCCTCTATTTATAGATATTGTGTGGTTTGCTCTGACAATGTGGCACTCCCCCATCACTTAATTGGAATGTTAGCCATATATCAGTTCAATTCTTTATGCAAGGGGAGGAAATCCAAGTGATAGTACTGTATATTTTTATATTGAGAATCAGTTTGAAAATTTTGGTTCAAGTCACTTTGCTAACAGCAAAACACATTTCATTTTTTTCAGATCTTCTTCCAAAAGCTTCAATCTTTTAAAATTATTTTTGGTATTTGTCACCTGTTTCCACTATCCATTTTGACCTTGAGAACTAGGGTCCACATATTTTATGTTTGAAACAAAAAAATAGTGGTCTATCCTACAATATATGTAGAACACATCCCTGGAAAGTAATTCTGGAATAGTAATTTATATTTCCATCATAAAAGTACACTGCAATTTCCCTCATCTCAGAATCAATCCTGTAAATCTATTATTTCTTGCAATACCAAATGGTTATTGTGAGTGTGACATCCACTATAGATAAACGTCAATAATAATTCCACTTTATTGTTAAAAGTTCTATGTTTTTACAATCATTTTTTCTTCTTTTAAGATCAATGATGCTTCTGATATCAAAAGAGCCAACAAATTTGTTTTGTGATGTGGAAGAAAAAATCGTTTTCTTTGACAACAATCATTTTCTTGCACATTAAACCTGCATACAAAATACACAATTTAAAGAAAAATCTACATTTGACCAAAGCAATGAAATTGCTATTTTAGAAATGCATGACAATATGTACCCTAGATCCTTACAAATTAATCTGCCTGGAATTAACCTGCATTTTCTCAGATCACTAAATCTTAAATTCGCTGTCTGTACACTAAAGAAGGTTTAAAGCGGGAAAGATCTTTCTAAATTTGCCACAAACTGGATTTGAAACCGTCACTGAGGATTAGCACTAATCTATTATAGAAATACTGATAAACCTTGTATTTGATATGGTGTCTATAATGTCAAAATGCTGCAAAGCTTTTCACAGGGAATTGCTATGAATTGTAGTGACTGTATTTGTAATTATATCCAGCAGCCAATGTATGCAAATCAATATCCCACAAACAGCAATGAACTGAATCACTAATTCTATGTGAAGGATAAAATAGTGCCATGGGATCTTTTATGTCCATCTGAACATCACTTCCAACAATGAAGTGCTACCCAGAGTGTCAGCCTGGCTCAGCACTCTTACCTCTGAGTCAGGGGTTGTAGGTTCAAGCCACACATCAGGTCTTTTGAGTTTATAGTCTTGAGTGACACTCAATGCTGGTGGAATGTTGCATTGTCAGAGGGGCCTTCCTTTGGATGAGATGTTAACCTAAGATTTAAAGATGCAAGTACCAATCTACATGCTGTAGCTATGGGAAATGCACATACTTTTGTTTTCCAAAAACTAGTATTGGTGGTAGAGTTACCTCAATCTTTGAGATAACAGGAACAAAGTTGTATTGTATATATTTTACTGTAAGTAACAGCTACAATTAGTGATCCCTTACAATAGACAAGTAGCTACAACAGTTTTATATCTCGGAGGCAAGAGTGCTACCAACTGAGCCAGGCTGACATCTCTCTCAGTTTTAAGGGAGACAAAAATAGAATCTCTCTTGTATTCGTAATATTTGCATTTAAGTATTCATATAAGTGCGCTATGACAAAGTAATATGTATGCTTGCAGCTTAATTCCCATTTCTAAATACTATACAAGCTAAATTCTAAGCACTTTATGTTTCCACAATAGAGATGTCCTGAACCCATGTAAAATTTTTAAAAATCAACACTGATGTCACCACAGAAAGTGCTTCAAAGAGCATTGCAGAACTGCAGAAATAAATCGTCCCCCACACAATATTAACTTCAGAATATAATTAAGTTGAAGTAATTTGTTCATGATCACCTCAAATCACAATCTCACATCATTAACAATGTCAAAGTATCTCCCACAAATATTTTCACACTAAAATGCCGCCTGTTAAATTATTTATGCTTCGATATTTTACATAAGACTATTTTGAACGCACAAATGGGTATTTCTGCTTCAGTTGTCTTTTTAAAAATTCAACTGACTGAACATTGTACATTCATACTTGATATAAGGAGAATCAAGTTTGATTAAGATTGTGGACACAAGACACTTTAATGCATGATGGGCTTCAGACCAATTATCCTTTTCAGCACATCAGTAGGGGAAGAGCACTTTTTGCTATTGATGAAGCCTCAGAAATAATGTTTGAAATAAAGGCAGTATCTCAAATAGTAACTACGACAGAGATTGAACTTCAAATAAAAGGGGTCAGCCTGGCTCAGTTGGTAGCACTCTACTCTCTGGGTTAGAAGATTGTTGTGGGTTCAAGCTCCACATCAAGACTTGAGCCCATAATGTACATTGGTACTCCAGTGCATTTTAGCTCTCCGAGACGTTATCCTAGATGAAGGGCACTACATAAATGTAATTGTTGTTGTCCTTCAGTTACAATGTTAAACTAAGGTCCTGTCTGTCTGTTCAGGGACATTAATGATAATAATAATAATCCTTGCATTTGATATAGCGCTTTTCATGTCGTCTCGACATCTCAAAGCGCTTCACAGAATATGCTGTAAATTGAATTGTCCCTATATTTGTGGGCGAAAGATATTCCTGCAACATAATTCGAAAAGAGATGGGAGTTCCTGATCATGGGTGTCCTGGTCGGCAAACAATCTTTCAGATGGATTGGTCATTCACTACATGGCTATTTTGGGGACTTTGATGTGTGTAAATTGGCAGCCCATTTGTCTGGAGATACACAGACTGAATATATTTGAATTCATGTATCTGTTAAGCACCTTGAGAAGTTCTGAAGTTGAAAGCATAAACACAAGGATTATATTATATTCAGTAAAAATTGACTCTGGCTGGACTTTATCATGAAAAAGCATGACAGAAGTAGTTAACCTGCTGGCTCATCCCTTAGATTTGTCTATTCACTGAAATAAATATACGTTTTCACTGCAGAGCTGCAGTTCAAGCCATTATGCCTTTAATTTCAACTCTTATTTGCTGAACTGGAACTCAGGGGTTAAGAGCGGAGCAATTCACTATGTGTAATACGTGAACATTAAATCCCCAAAGCTGATAGTTTGTGTGAAAGGTGAACTAGTTTCTGAACAAGTGAAGCCTGATTTGAGGAAGCCCAAGAAAACTAAGGAGGAGAAAAGGTCTCGACTTGACTCCAAATGTAATGGTTATAAAATATTAAGAGCCTGGAAAACAAGGCTGAGATTTGCTACTTATTTGTTGGACTATGATATCTGAATTCATTTCTTTTTCAAGGAGAAGCTTTGAGCCTCACATCAGAGTAAGGCAGCTTTTTAATCTGGGACAACAACAACAACCTCGGAGGAAACAGATGATGATTGACTCAAGTTCCATACTCCCACCTAAGTTGTGTTTCTTCATAAAATCAGTAGCTGTCATGGAACAACAGAACCACAGAAATTTACAGCACAGAAGACGACAATTTGGCCTATCTTGTTTGTGCCAGCTCTTTTAAGAGCAATACTTCCAGTCCTATTTACCTCCCCTTTCTCACTCCCTGTAGTTTACTCCTTTTTAGATATTTACCTAGTTCTTTTTTGAAAGTTAATATGGATTCTGTCTCAATGCTCCCAGAAGGGCATTCCATTTCCTAAAAATTCTCTGCGTCAAAATATTTTACTTAACCTCCCCATTTGCTAACTATT